ACCCTAACCCTAACCCTAACCCTAACCCTAACCCTAACCCTAACCCTAACCCTAACCCTAACCCTAACCCTAACCCTAACCCTAACCCTAACCCAGACCCTACCGTATGCCAGAAATCTTTGCCTGTTTCGTGTCGGCTCATATCACGATAATGCGGTCTAGCTAGTGTACCCGCTGTGAGAGAGACTTTCTCTTCGAGAGTAAGCTGTGTCAGCATATGCTCGATATCGAGCTCATGATGTTGCTGCTTTGTCGTAGCGTGTAAATCGGCACCGTGCTTAAGGGTGCGTTGGGTAGTGGGGGTATCCATGTTACGAAGTCAAGATACAGAATGCGGATGGTATTAAAGTGAAGAAGTACGAGTGTGATTGTAAGCTTTGGTGTTGGCAATCGAGATAAATATACTCAGATCGGGCAACCAAGGCCACGTCCGTCTTCGGCGTCCCTCCACCCTATTGGAGCGCACCGCAGTTCATGTCGATCGCTTCGTACATCACGCGTGTCTATCGCTCGACGGCCCGTTAATGCGATGAGGACGGAGGGTTGAATCGTGGTTGTTGACAGAAAGTGGAGCAGTTACGGAGTCAAAGCGTGCCAGCAGTTCTCGTTTCGGGCTGTTCGTTGCGCGCGCGAAGCCTTGGCGATTTCTCCGGCCATACCCCCATATGATCCTTCTCGACAGCTTCTCCACACGCTCAATCTTTTCTTTCTCGCGACCATTTGCCGACTTGCTACTCGTGACACATCTGGTTGCGAGACGTTCTGATGTAATTCTAGGTCTCTATTCAGGTCTTTGGCAGTTCCTAATGGCTCCCACTTTCGCATTGCCATTGAGGCTCGCAGATTGCCATACCTTGCATCTTGCAGCGTGCGGCTCTCCTGCGTCCCTCATATCACGTTCGTTCGTCTGTGGGCGTTTACGAGCTTTCGGTCTACTTCGTCAACGACTTGAGCTATGATCAATGCTCGATATGTCTACCTGCTTCTCTATGGTGTATCTAACGATGTCTTGCTACTGCTGTCCCAGCCTCAGAAAGTTTCTCGTGCGGCGCTCTACTAGTCTGAACCGTCGCCCCAACCTCGCGAGTCACGGCCTGTGACAGCGCCTTAGTCAAATCTCCGCACATTGATCACGCTCCGCTCTTGCGACAAAAGTCGTATGGTTTATAAGGGGGGACAGCCTCGAAAAGCCTAACATGGCCATCTGGGTGGTCCGGTGCCACAAATGAAGGTGCATTCGCTGCTGCACGTTTCTTTGTCGGTAATGCAGCCGCTTGCTTTTCGACCTCGGTACCTCTTTTAATCAACGAGATCGCATACCCTTCTCATCGTGGTATCTGTGGGGCATTGTACAATTGTGGATGGGTAAGTGTATCTCGCTTGAGCTTGAGTCGAATACTTACAAGTTCCCAGTACGTGGGCGGACTCATAGCTGCTTTCCTCACTTACGGCACTCGCAACATGGGCAACTCCTGGTCATGGAGGACCTCCTCTCTACTCCAGGTCTTAGTCCCCTTTCTCGCCCTGCCCGCTCCGATCGTGGCCCCACAGAGCCCAAGATGGCTCGTTTCTATGGACCGTACCGAAGAAGCACGTCAAGTCCTGACAAAGTGGTACGCCGGTGATGATCAACAATCGCAGCTAGTCAACTACGAGATGATCCAGATCATCACAGCTATCCAGCAAGAAAAGAATGCGACCTCCAGTGCAAGCTACGCCGAGATGTTCAAAACCCCCGGCAACCGTCACCGTCTATTCATTTGGGTCACCCTTGGTTTCTTTGGCCAATGGGTAAGTGTATCTGCTTTACTACGCGTTGTCTGTTCGGTGCTTAACATTGTCGCAGGTCGGCAACGGTGTGGTCTCGTATTATCTCGCGCTTGTTCTGGAGACTGTCGGCATCACAAACGTCACAGATATGACCCTCATGTCGGGTTTCCTGCAACTATGGAACCTGATATGGTGTGTCGTGGCGGCGTTCTCGGTCGATCAACTTGGTCGTAGGCCTCTCTTCCTTACTTCGGCCGTCATCATGGGAGTTTCGTACGTCTTGGTGACAGGCCTCTCCGGATCTTTCGCATCGAACCATACTCCTACGGTCGGCATTGCAGTCATTCCGTTCTTATTCATCTTCTTCGCTGGCTACGACATCGCGCTCACACCTCTTGTCATTTCATATCCTTGTGAGATCTGGCCATATCGTCTCCGTTCTCGTGGCCTGACTGTTACCAATGTCAGTACAGTTGTAACCATTACATTCAACACGTTTGTCAATCCTATCGCCCTCGGAAGTATTGCATGGAAGTACTATATCGTTTTTGTAGTCGTGTTGATCCTGTATGGCGTCACGGTCTTCTTGGCCTACCCGGAAACAAAAGGACATTCGCTCGAGCAGATACCTGTTTTGTTTGATGGTGCCACGGCCGAGGCGCCGGAACCAGGCCAGACGGCGGAGAGATCTGCCAGCATGATATCAAAGGGCGACGAGAAGGAGGATGTAGTTAGGGTCGAGAGAGTATGATGAGATACACAGATTTGCGTTGGATGGATCTCCGTATCCCAAAGAATTTTACAGTCTGTGTCTGATCGTATCCATGTGTGTTTGTGGTCCTGTGAGTGCTTTTCGAGTCTTACTTACTCTTGCTTCAAGCTCCTCCCCTATTTCAATAGTGTTGATGGTGAGGCTGATCATGTGCATTTGCATGCATTATTTCGCGATTGGTGCATTATTTAGGCAACGAGAGAGCAAACGAACTGGCCCAGCTAGCCACAGCAGACACACAGCCTATGCCTTTGCCGGCCAAAATGGTACCCATATCGGTCATTTATGCTAGAGGAAAAGCAGCTAGATACACACCTAAGCAAGAGGAGTTCTATGGAGCCAAAACTGGAAAGTTCTTACAGAGAATCGATAAAGCATTTCCAGGAAAGCACACGAAGAAGCTGTATAACTCGCTTAACAGGGCGGGTGCGGCCATCCTTGCTCAGCTAAGGACAAACATCTCTAGACTGAACACCTATCTGCATAAGATCAAAGTAGCGGAAACAGATAAATGCGAATGTGGAGCAATAGAAGCCGTCCAGCACTTCTTATTCCTCTGCCTACGGTGGGGGCAGCAAAGTCAAGGCATAAGAGTAGCACATGGCAGTAGATACTGCAACATCTCTTACGCCTTAGGAGGATACTTGGATCACAAGGAGAATGACAAGATCGTTAACGGAGAGAAAGATAAGTAGAAACCAGATTGGAATGCAGTGAAAGCCACTATCGAGTTTGCAAAAGCAACAGGCAGGTTGCAACTACAGATATAAGGAAAAACCGATTGACAGTAAGTGCCTAGGTACCAACTATAATGCAACCAATCTTAGCAACATTGCCTCTAGACAGCGCCCGGCCGATAAGGATGTACGCAACATAGGGAATTGCCCTTGTGGAGGAGGCCATAGCTCTCTTAACACTGAGAAAGGAAGTGTGTGACACTCATTACATAGGCACATAGGTGTTATTGGCGTTGATGATTTACACGGTCTGCTGCGACCATTACCCTCCTCCCTACTGAACTTGACGGTTGCTATTGGTCAGAATAGCGATAGCTTATACCTCTTGCGGGGTAAATAGCTTATGATCATCAAATCAAATCATGGATAGATACTATAAAGGCTTGATGTCGAGCAGGATATTAGCTATCTGTAGCACAGATGTTAAGGCTTTTGCGAATTTAATGAACAAAGATTGGTTATTGAAGTGGCGCATTCTTATATGATTATCACTGCTTGGGCCATCAAAGATGTCTCGGTCCGAGGAGAAACAAACTGAATTCCAGATTCACGAAATCACGTGAATTTGCTTCGTCCATTCTTCCGCAACCTTACTGCACCTTGATTTGTTGACGCACGTCCAATCCGCAAGTGGCACCCTAGCAGCATTGTGACACCAGCACGGGGTTTTGATCTAGGGACTGCTCGAGATGTATAAGCCCGCTCCTTGTCGCCCAAAGAAGACCGCTATTGTTCGTTCTCGCTCCGGATGTAGCGCGTGCCGAACCCGTCGCGTGAAGGTCGAGCAATTACATGGCGACTACTCAAAATCAATATACTGATGATATACAGTGCGATGAGAAAAAGCCTGGCTGCGGTCTATGTGTACGCTTGGGCAAAGTGTGTAGGCCAGCGACATTAACTCTCAAGTTCCGTATGGTCTTTCCTGAAGCGCGACCTCTGTCTTCCACAGAGTCCGACTCTGAGTCACGAACCATGCAGTCGCTGTATTGTCCCGAGCATGACACACTTCCTGTAGACAGCAGTCCTAATGCTAATACCGGGGTACCCAATGTCCAAAACTTCATGGGATCTGCTCTGTCGACGAGGATGGATGATATTGATAGGGCGAGCGCTGGTGAATCCGACACAATCCCGCAATCAGTCGAGAGTCCGCAGGAAACAAGTCTCTTCTTCGAACGAGCTCTCGTGATGAGTGAGCGCACTATGGTCGACGAAGCCTACTATTATCACCACTGGAAGGGCCATTGTGTCCACGCGCTGGGAGAATTGTTCCGAAGCTTTGAGATCCTGAGCGCTCGCCGTGAGTCCTTCAAGAGTGCACTCCTGGCACTATCGGCGTGTAACCTCAGTCGACTCTCGCCAGAGAAGAGTTTGCGGGTGTCCAAGTCTGGTAGCATGATACTTGGACCCCGAAATGACCACCTCAGAAGGAGCCAAGAGTATTATGGATCAGCAATTCTGAAGATTGTCGCCACTGTCCAACAGGATTCTGAATCTCAGCCATGTCTGATGCTGTGCACACTTATCTTATTGTGCTATCATGAATCGGCTATGGGCAACTTCTCGGCTTTCAAGGTGCACTCTGAAGCCATCCTCCGGCTTGTTAATGTAAATCTGCAAAAGCTTGTAAGGGATCCTTTGGGACAGAATCTCATCGCTGCGTGGCTGTTGTCGAGGTACCACAACTGGTGGCTCAGGACCTATTTCAGTACCTTTTCTTACCAACGCAGCCAGCAGTGTCTGTCTCCTTCACCGCAGATCTGTCTGCTTCTACGCACAACAGGCGCGCACAGAACCATTGTCAACGCGATCTTGTGCGAATCACATCGACTAAACGTCATAGCGATGTTATGCCTCTGGTCAGAACAAGATAGGGAGCATATCCGACCGATGAGTTTCGACCGATTGATCGTTCTTCTCAATAGCGAGTCCAGGAAACTGGATGACTGGCATCTAAATCTCTCACCCCATGAAATGCCGGCCCAGAAACTGTGCTATGCTGGAAGCAGGAAACTGTCTGGTCCGATACTTCAGGCTCTATCGACTGACGGCCCCCTCCTCTTCCATACCTTGGAATCGGCAGTCAATTATGCTTACTATGCCACTGCTCGGATCATGCAATGCACGTCGATTCTAGACGACCTTCGCAAGAGCAGCAACCGAAATGGTCCGATCCGTCCAGGACTGACAGAGGACACCAGTCTACTCGACAAGGACGACGAAACTATTATGTACTGGATGAGCATCCTCGTTCGTATCGTAGCTGGTCTTGTCAAGACTGAACTACTTTGCCGGAATATCTACTCGATAGGTGTCACTAACCTCTTGCTGATCTGCATGATGCGCTGCCGAGACGCACTCACAGGTCGCTGGATCCATGACTGGATAAAGGAATGGACACTCCATTCGCCTGCTGAAGAGGGCAGCTTTCCTGTAATGCAGGCGTTGGTCGTGGTAGACTTAATAAACAGATTGAGGGCATCGCGCAAGGATACACTTGCTGTCGGATTACCACACGATGATGGTGGAGGTGAAGGGAAATACTTCTCATATGATAGTCAGAAGTTGCACACTATTGTGCTTCGGGGACAATGTCGCGATACTGGACGCTTGTTTTCAGATACCATCTCCTTGGAAACATGCCGTATGTACAATACCACCTGATAAATCTCATTTCAGCAGCACAATCATCATTGTCATCGTAATCGTCATCATCCTGGTGTGTTTCTTACCTGAACAGAATCTCGTCGCGTTGCGAATCATAGCACGGAGAGACATCGTTATCACCGTAAGCTGGGACAAGCTGTATATGGTAACTTTAGTGACGGCTGGGTCAGCTGTTTTGAAATGGGAACTGTTTGGCCGAGCTACGAATCTCAGAATTAGTCTACTGGGACCGATTTTGCGACTGGACACTGCGACCTATGAGATAAATAGACGCTTCTCCATCGGTCCTACAAGATCAGATGCGCGTTACCGGTGCCAGCTGGATCGCAGCTCATCATACGGATCTCAAATCGCATAATGATTCCTATCCGGATAATCCATCCAAGCTCGCATTCTGTGTCTCTGGTGATCGCTTCCTAAAAAAAAGCCAGTTCAACACCTTCTCAACCATGTTTTTCGGCGGCACCTCATCATTCAACTCCCCATCTAGATCAACTTCTTGTTTTCCAGAAAATAGATCAACATCCTTCGCCCCTATCAAGCTCGTCTTTCTGATCAGCTTGTGTCCAAAGTACAAGGTGAAGAAGATAGGGATGGTTATGTACGACGTGATGAATTCCTGACGGTCAAACCTATAGACAAAGGCTGAGAAGCCGCTGAACATGATGACAGTCGCAAAAAAGGTCAGGGCAAGGTAGGAGGCGCAAGGTTGAAATGGGGCTTTGTAAGGTAGACTGTCGCGATCGATGCCCTGGGCTTTCAAAGCGCGGTGGAAGCCCAGGTAGGCGATGCTAACGGAACCCCAGGTGAAACAGTTGGAAATGGCCGAGATGCTAGACAGCCAATTGGAGACCGACGAGCCCGAGTTAGAGACGTCAAGATAACTCACGCAGAGAATAAGCGCTGTGGTCCAGACGCCTGCCCACGGGATGCCCCTAGAGACTCAAACTTAGTACGTGTCATCTCGAGCCCAACAGACGGAGGATCTGCATGAAACTAACCTCTTGGTACATCGAAGGAAAATGGGGAGTGCCTTGCCCAGCTTGGCCAGAGCATAGAGATATCTGCTGGCGCAAAAAAGCCATTCATTCGCGGCTGATATGGCCGAAGACAAAATGACGGCGTTGATGAGTGAGGGGAGACCAGTTATCCCGGCTCCTTGGATTGCAATGACCCATGGCGATCGTGCTGCACCGGGGGCGCTCGCGGCCTGAGCACTCAACAGTTGTTCGTCTTTTGAAGACACGATCAAACCGACTGCCAGCGAACCAAGCGAGTAGAAGAACAGAATACGCCAGAAGTGCGACGGACGGCCCTAGGTATGTTACGGCGAGGATTCTTGGTCTCTCCGGCGGCAACAGCAACCAGCTCAATGCCGACGTAGGAGAAGGAGGCATTGATGAGAACAGAAAACCAACCAAGGAAACGTCCGAACGCGCCTGTGGTGAGATATGTATTTATCGCGCCCGGATCATTCCAGAATTGAAAACCCAGACGGTGAGCATTCGATCCACAGCCTAGATCAACGACGAGTGCTAGTATCAAAAGACCCAGCAGAGTAAAGACTTTGATGGTAACCAGAGCAAACTCAGCCTCACCAAATATGCCGACACAGATGCAATCGAGTAGCGTAATGCTAACGAGGATGACGGTGATCCACACGCCGGGCCACAAAACACGAGTCAGCTGAAAATTGTGCAGTAGTAATGGGAGAATAGGAGCGCACGTTGATCTCTTTGTTCCAGTACTGAATTACAATGGCGGTAGCCGACAGATCACTGCATCCTGAAAAAGTTGCAGCGTACCAATTCTTGGAAGAGCTGTCAGTATTCGTGATATCGTATCAGTTGGCCTCAGACGTACATTGTATCCGACAGCGAAACCGAGGGCATCATCAACATAGCGACTACAGAACTGAGGAGTGGCGCCAGGTAGAGGAAGCCATGTTGCCATTTCGCCCAAGGCAGGCATCTATCTCGAGACTATGATTAGTACAGAAGTGCCATTCTCCGAACTGGTCAGCTAAATGTAAAGCTGGAACAAAGACAACATGCCTGACTTACCATCGCGTACAGGAACATACCTGTGATAGTATAACCCGGCACCAGTGACGAAGGGCCTCCCCGGGTGAGGGCAGATTCGATTCTGAGGAAAAGGCCTGTCTCGATGGTTCCCACGAGGGCCATGAACTGAATATGACGTGATTTGAGTCTGGTGTAGCACATGCAAGATTGGTTAAACAGACGTCCAATCTGGATACTGACCCTCTTTAAATATGGTGACTGCCCGGAGTGACTTCGCCCTGTGCCTCACTGTCGAGAGTAGAGTCTATGGGCGTAAGCTTGACATCGTTCTTGCACGCGGTTGACTCGTGATTTATATCCATAACAAAACGAGGTTCCGGGTGTCAGACAGAATCACTTATGGTCGTCCCAAGTGACCTCAGCAATGGAACTTCGCTTCAGTGCAGTCTGGCCGTCTATTGCAGCCTGCAATACTTATGCAAGATCTCCGCCGCCTCTGAGATTAATCTCTTATCGGACATTGCTATTAGCTGATTCTCATCGAAACAGATGATTGGAGGCTTACTCATACCCGAAACTGAGGACTATGCCTTGTCTGGTGCGCGGAAGCTATCTCGTTGGATAGCATGTCTTCGAGCTCCGATAGAGGCAACAACTTTTGCGTACAATTGCTCCGCTGTAACTGCTCTGACGATATCTTGCTGCAAGCTGAACTCATCGATTTGGCCTTACAAAGTCTATGCCGTACACGGCTCACACGGTACTGGTCAGTCACAGGCTGAACGAGCATGAAGCAGCTGGGATTCTCGGACTAGCCGGATGAGATGCGCGATCGCGCTCTCCTTATCGACTCTGAGATGTCGCGCCGCGACGTAAATAGGCAATTAGTGGAAAGTCGAAATGGAAATTCGAACTGTCACAACGCAGCTCATCTAAGGCTAACTTAATCCGGTGCGCGGGAGCGTGTGGAAAGCCAAAACGGGGACTGGAAATGTCAGTGCGTAGTGACAGCATGACACAGCGCAGTACCGTCTGAGACTACAGTCCCCTCTCGTTATAACGATCGGACCGATCTACCACTTTAATATCGTTATAACGTAATTATCGTTCAATCGAGAGCCCTTGGCATTGTATACGCTATACGAAGTAGGAGGTTATCTGCGCTTGACGAAGGCTTCTATTCCTTCGATCTTATAGTACTACCTCGTGCTTGCTTAGCTGCTCAATAACTGGCGCTAAAGCCTCGCTCTGCTGCTCCTCGTACAGTCGAAGGATGCTTAGAGCTTCGATAGCTGAGCGGATTGATATAGGTGGTAGCTCTTCAAGCTCCTCCTCTGATTCATGGTCCGCTTGTACATCAAATTGAGCAGCTATCTCCTCCTCTATTCGGTCGGTTACCTTAAGGCCTTGTATAGCTTCCTCAGCGGGATTGAGGAAGCTCTTAATTGACATAGCAGACTAAATTCGGTGCTGCTGCTTAAGCTGGTTTATAAGGGCCCTAACTTTAGTAGTAACTCCTCTAAGCTCTGCGTTATCTTGTAATTCAGAGGGCCGTGGAACAAGTGTTGAGTGGTGCCAGCAATTAGCTATCGTAGCTTCTGAAATAGCTTGCCATGCTTGTATAGACCATCGAATAGCTTTAAGGACGTTAGTTATACGTAGAGGGTTCTTGCCGGCCTCAAATTGATCAACCATATAAGTCAGCCAGCGCTTGCGGTAGTGAGCCTTCCATGCGCGTATAATCCCTTGATCAAGTGGCTGGTACTTTGACGTAGAGTTCGGTGGAAGCCAGCAGATAACCGTGTTTTTAAGAGGCATTAACTTTAAAGCTTCAACAGCAGCTATATGAGCTGAGAAGTTATCTATAAGTAGGAGGACCTTTCGGCCAGTAACTTGCTAATCAAACTAGTAGAGCCACTCAACCATAATATCAGTCTTTATCCATGCCTTGCCGTTCTATCGCTAGAAGCAGCCAAGCGAGTTGATGTTGATGTTAGCAGCACCGAAGGCTCGAGGCTTCCGGTGCTTGCCAATAAACCAGAGGGGTAGCTTGTGGCTACCGTCTGCGTTACAGCAGAAGTGGACAGTAATTCGAGCCTTCTCAAGCTTTGTACCAGCAATAGCTTGTGTAGCTTGGCCTCTATTAGGAGTTATCTTCCAGCAGAGGCCAGATTTATCGCAGTTATAGGTATTAGAGGGGTGGAACTGAGAAGCTATTGCCTGTACAGCAACTAGCTGCTCAGCAATTGCAGCCTCATCAATTGAGCTGGCCTCGCCATGCCGAATACGCTTAGATATACCATGCCTCCTCTTGAATTTATCGAGCCAGCAAGTACTAAATTGGGGTATCTCCATGCCTTGATAGCAAGGTAATCGGTGCCAGAAGCGTAGCGCAGCAGCCTTAAGAAGATCGTTGGATATTGGTACTTGAGATTCGATCTGAAGCTGCCACTCGTAGAGGCATGCCTCAAGCTCTGGCCAGTGCTACGTACGAAGGCGCTTCTGCGCAGGGCCTTCGCTGCGCTGATCGAGCTCGCTAAAGCGTTCTAAGAGGCTCTCAGAGATAGTACCTTGAGAGGGTCGATGGCCGAATTGCTGCTCGAACCAGCTAGCTAGCTGTTGCTGATTGAGCGCGCGGTGTTGTTGTGCGTAGCGACGAAGCGATATTCTCTGCTCAGTCGTTATAGCGCGCCGGCGGCGAGGCTCCGGAGGTGCCATGGCGTGTTCGATATAGCGATAACTGGCTCAGAAGTAGGCGATATATCGAGAAGGTGAGAAATAGCGATAATTGTATGGTAAGTTGGCTCAGGTGTTGAAAATAATCGCTCAATCGAGACTATCGTTGTAC